AGGGGGTGCCATGTCTAGTATGGCTTGTACCTTGCTTGGGTTGGCTTTGATGCCCCTTTGAGTAACAACAGAGCGTAAGAATTTCCCCGAGGTAACCCCGAAGGCACACTTGCTCAGATTGAGCTTCATGTTGAACTTACGTAGAGTATCAAAGGTCTCGGCCAAGTCTGAGGTGTACGCTTTGGCCTAATCTTCACCACCATGTCGTCCACGTAGGCTTCGATGTTCCTCCCTATCTAATTCTTGAAAATCATGTTGACAAAGCACTGGTAAGTGGCCCCTACATTCTTGAGGTCGAATGACATAACTTTGTAGCAATACGTGCTATGCTCAGTGATGAAAGATGTCTTCTCCTCGTCATCGGGGTGCAGCTAGATCTGGTTGTACCTGGAGAAGGCATCCATGAAACTGAGTAGTTCATACTCTATAGTGGTGTCAATGAGGTGGTCAATCCTCGGCAAAGGAAAACTGTCCTTTGGGCAAGCTCGGTTAAGGTCTGTGAAGTCAATACAAATTCATCATTTCCCATTATCTTTCCTTACCAAAACCACATTAGACAGCCAGTTAGGGTAATGTAGCTCACGAATGAAGCTGGTGTCGAGTAGCTCGTCAACTTCCTCTCCTATAGCTTTCCATCGCTTCAGTGCAAAGTTCCTCTTCTTCTGCCGAACTGGCTTAGAGCTTGGGTCCACGCTCAGCTTGTGAGTAATGACCGAAGGGTCAATTATGGGCATGTCAGCGGCGGACCAAGCAAAGACGTCATCATTAGTTCTGAGAAAACTTACCAGTTCTGATAGGCGTTTAGGGGGGAGGTTAGACCCTACGCGGACTGTCCTTTTTGGGGCTGACTCATCCAGGGGAACTGAGACAAGGTCCTTGGCTCGCTAGTTCCTCCCGAGGGTCGAGGCCCTCCAGTGATAAGGCCTCATTATTTTTTCCTTTTAGTGCCGCCACATATCATTGGCGGGCGATCTATTAGTTCCCACGAACGACTCCAGCGCCTTGCTCGATGGGAAACTTAAGGGCCAGGTGATAAGAGGACATGGCTGCCCCTAGTGCATGAAGGGTTGGTCTTCCCATTATTGCATTGTAGGGAGAGGCAACCTTCACCACTAGGAACTCATGCATCCAAGTCAACTGGTGTGGTGCTATCCCCACCATGATGGGCCGGGTAATCTTTCCTTCCGGCTTGGTGACGCTGCCAGAGAAGCTGACGAGAAGAGTGTTAGCTGGCTGGAGCCTCTTTGGCATGGGCTTCATTCTCTCATACATGTCATAGAAAATGATGTCGGCTGACAAGCCGCTATCCACTAAAATCTTCTTCACCATAAAATTGGAGATGATGGCTGTGACCACAAGGGCATCGTCGTGGGGGACAGTAACCCCCTCTAGATCCTCGTTAGTGAAGACGAGGGCATGTGAACCTTTCGGCTTCCGCATAGTGTCTGGGTATTTCTGCTTCTTCGGGGCAGGTTCCTGGATGTTGAGTTGCCTGGCATAGGCTTTTTGAGCCGAAGGCGAGGATCCACTCGAGGCCTTACCCCCAACGATGATGTCGATGACGCCTGCAACTTGTTGGTGCTACTGTTCTTGCTGTTGCTGGGATGTCGAGGCGTCGACCTCTCCTTCAACGAACTGCTTGAGGTGTCCTCGGCGAATGAGGGACTCTATTTCATTCTTTAGATCATGGCAGTCCTCGGTGTCGTGTTTGGTGCTGCGGTGGTAGTTGTAGTACTTCCTAGGGTTCCCCCTCTTGGGTTCCGCTTCAACTTTGTTGGCCACTTCACAAACTTCTCTTTCCCTATCTGCATCAGAATTTGGGTGCGGGTGGAGTTGAGTGGCGTGTAGTCACTGTACCATGTAGGCCAGGGTGGTGGGCTTCTTGTTGTCTTTGCTGCCATTGTTTCCAGGGTGATGCTGATCTCCATTTTTCCTCTTCTTCCTCGGGGGCTCGTTGTGGCGTTTGACTGCCCTTTCCTGGTTCTCTCCGGCCAAAGTCTCTTCGACCGCAATGTATTTTTGGGCCTTCTTGAGGAATTCGAGTTTGGTCTTCGGCGAGGTCTTGGAAACCAATTACTTGAGAGACGAACTGAGCCGGAGTCCATTGATGGCCGCATGCATGGTGACCATAGGGTCGAGGTCTCGAACTTCGAGTTCTTCTTTCTTGAAGCGGTCGATGTAAGACCACAAACTTTGACCCGGCTCCTGTTTGAGTGACATTAGAGAGACTATGCTCTTTTGGCACCGTCTGCTGTTGATGAAGTGGGTGAGGAATAGGGTTGTAAATTGCTCCCAGAAACTGATTGATCAAGGAGGGAGACTGAAGAACCAATGGTGAGCGGCCCCCTTGAAGGTAGCCTGGAAGGTCCTACACGTCAAGGCATTAGAATAGCCGTACAATATCATGAGCACTCTGAAACCCTTTAGGTGGTCATCAGGGTCAGTGCTTCTGTCATATGTCTCCAGTGTGGGAGCCTTGAAGTGCGGGGGGAGAGGCTCCGAGATGATTTCCTAGGTGAATGCGTTCATGCGACCGGTGGAGTTGTCGTGACTGGTTGAGGCGTTGACTCAGCTCTCCTTAACCTGGAAGAGCTCGTCCTTAACAGCCCCAATCTCGGCGATCCCTGGGTCGGCATGGGCATGGGCCCTGCTCTTGTCTTCGCGGACCCGATGGGTGTCGGCTCAGACTCCCGAATACTCCAAGGTAGGGTCGCGTGCTCCTCTACGGGCGCGATGGTTATTCAGAATGTCCTTGAGGTCTGAGACAGGAGGCGGACTGGGATGGCGTCGGCTCTCGCCTCGGGAGCGAACTCCAGGGCAGAAGAACTGCCTGCTATCATCCTGGGGGGCCTCCCTACAACGGCGGTGGTGCTGCTCCGAAGATTGATGACTATCTTCGGGTTGAGCGGACGCCCTCTCCCTTTGGCTCGGTGGACAGACATTCCTTCGAGGTGAGCCCGAGAGACAATTATTGCTCAATTATGATGGTTCGACCAGCGGATTATCATGGCTGAGGGCCGGTATCTCGATGTTCTCATGCTGACCCTGATCCTCTAACACCCCAACGGGGCGGTCGCCTTGAGAGGGACCTCCTGCTGGGGGTAGACTTCTTCCATTCATTGGGTGAGGCGGTCCAAACAATCAAGGACAACCTGAAACTGTTCATAGGTAACCAGGTTTGGTGTGTTCCTGGCTCTCCTCTCCATGGCTTCCGAGCTTACAGGGATCTTGGATCTAAGAGTGTTCTTGTTGTTTATCTTGAAGTGGGAGTTGTCTTAGCAACCACTTTCTCACAGACGGTACCAGTTGTTGCCGCGCGGTTTGGCCAAGGGCAATAAGGTAAATTTACTCTTCAAGTTTTGGATGTTATCCGAGGACCCCGAGGCTTCGGAAGAGGTTGACTAAAGGTGAGGACAACAAACCGAGGCGAGGACTATGATAGTCGAGGACTTCTAGTCGAGGCGAGGTCCTAGGTAGTTTGAGGTACTACAAGACAGAGAGTGTCAGAGGCCTCAGGGTGGATACCCGAGGCGGAGACTCCGATGCTTAAGTTAGTACGAGATGTGAAGTTGGGGAGAGTGTGACAGTGCACTTGGAGAAAGTCCTCGGATGCACTAGATCTCCCATAATTAATGCTTGGTAGATAATGTTGGTGCATGAGGTAAATGAGTGAGTAAATGTTGGAGTTACTCCGTTGTAACCCCTTTTCAGGGGTAGTTACCTCTTATTTATACTCGAACGTACTAACGCCTTGAATGAGAGCTGTACGAGGTCAAGCTATAGGCCTTGGCGGTATGCCAGATAGTTAGATGATTGGCTCCGTACGAAGGCAACAGGGCTCTCGCCTACAGTGGCTGACGTTAGCAGGTGTTAGTGGGCTGGGCCCTCTAGCCCTATGTGGGCTGGGCCAAGCTAATCCACATCAATAAATATAATATAATATAAGTATATATTTATATATAATGAATATATATTTATATAATACATAAAAAATATGTGACATATATTAAATATATATAAAATATACATATAAATATATATACCGATCGGTTCAGTTAATCATCGGATTTTCATAGGTTAACCGAAAACCAAACCGATCCTTTTGTTTTTCAAAAATTCCGAACGAAAACCGAATCAATCAATTCGGTTAACCAAATTTTGCGATTCTGTTTTTTCAATTCGGTTTTTCATGAACACCCTTAACAACCACTCTAACTCTTAATTAGTTCAGCTGGTCACAATTCACAAGCAAACCCTCATTATGAAGAACCATGGCCCACGGATCTTAGCCCATGGAAAGCAGGCTTTTCATGTTGTACTTGTACCAAATTACCAATGGGCCCTCTATTAGGGATGCTCATCAAACTGATGGAATTGATCGAACCGATCATCTTGGCCTAATTTGATTCGAATTGGTTAATTTTTTTATTATTTTCGGTTAATTTTGGTTCATTATTTTTTCTAACCCAATCAGGTTGGGTTGGTTTTTGCCTTTTTAGTTTAGCTGTTTATAAATATAAGAATTTTAATATGAAAAAGTGAAAAAATTCTTATATTTTCTAACCTAAAATATTTTATATTATAAAATTAAATTTGTTAACTTAATTTTTTTAACAATATTATAATAAATTTTTAAATTTAAATCCTTTTAAATCGACCGGATTAAACTAGTTTTCATTAATGATTGATCGATTTCAAATAACCAATTCTCTAACCCGATCAAGTCGGTTCGATTGGCCAAATAACCTGCAACGAACCGAACCGACCCGGGCCTGTATGCATGAGAATGCAACCGCACGTCTGGTCTGACGTGTATCTCTTAAGATTGGCGCAGCATGACGTGTTCTCCGACAGGAAGGCCAATAGGCAACCACTTTCTGCGTGTTACACGTATAAAGCTTCCTTTCCTGGACTCTGGAAGGTCGAAGTGGGCCCTACAAAGACCAGCTCATGCACTCAAAGTGGGCTGGGCCCTTGCTCTTTCTTTCGCGAATCTGGACTCGACCCACACGAAACGGCGTTTGTGTTGGCAACTCGCAACTGCGGGGTTTGGACTCCGATGCTCATCTCCCTCATTCTCTCCTCTCCACTTTCCTTTCTCTGCACTCTCGCTTCTGTGCAAATCCATGGATTATCAATCTAAAACCCAGGATAGGGTTTCGTCAATCTCGTAATTATTTTTTCTCCGATTCCTTGATTCTTCTGCTTTTTTTTTAGTCTGGAGCCATGGTGTTGAGATCTGGCAGGAGAAAGCTATCCTTCGATATTCTTAGCGGCAATGGCTCCATGGACGACGAATTTGTCCTTTTCCGATCAAATTCCGATCAAGTTCGACAGATTGATGGAGATGAAGGTCGTGTGGATCCTGGTGGGGATAAGCCAAATCGTCGCAAACGGAAGAACAAGAGTTCGAAGAAGAAGAAGTATTATATTGATTGTTCCATCGAGGAGGATCCGGTTACTGGTAATACGGGTGTTGATTCGGTGTTGGTTGATCAGAGATCTTGTTTATACGAGAACGGCTCTTGTGACAATGGAGTGAAGTCTGATTACCAAAGTTATAGGAGTCAGACCGTTATCTGTGAAGAAGTTACGGTTTCAGAGGAGAATGATGCAAATGTTCGAACTGTGCATCATGTGGCCGAGCATGATTTTCAGAATCTGCATGGGGATCGACATCAATCTGGGGAATTGAGACAGAGGAGTGTGGGTGGAAGTGGTCTATGTAATGAATCTGTATCGCGGACTGGCGAGCCTGCTAAGGAGGAGAACAGTGTGGGATTGAAGTCGTCGTCATCGGGGCAATGGCGGCCTGATCCTAATGGGAGTGCTGTTACAACTAAATTAGAAACAGAATTGTCACTGGACTGGAAGCAGCTAATGGCTGAAGATCCAAGTTGTGAGTCAACCTTTCTCAAGTACTTAACTCTTTAGTATCCCTAAAATTATTACTTTTGGTGTTTTTTGCGTAGCATCGTACATCCTAAGAAATTCATAATTTCTCTGATTTCTTGTGAATCATGCTAGTAGGGCTGCAAATGGATAATTTTGGAATAGGAAATACCTAGATCCAAAAACGATACGTTAATATTTGGATTCCAATGGAATCCTATCCGTCTAATTCAGATCGGACTCAGATGAACTAGAAATGACTTTGATAATGTATATCATGAGTATATGATTACTTAAAAATAACTTTTATGTGATTTAGAACCTATGACTCTTCAGGAAAACAACATTCGAACCAATTTATCCAATGGGTGTATATTAATTCTATGTGGATGTAAGCATATGTATGAAGAATATCAGATTGGATTGTGATCCATAATGGATGCAATTATAAATGGATGGAATTCAGATTTTGCTAGATGGGATTGGATTTGAATTCTACTTTGGACAAACAGATACCATTTGTTTCCTTCCTTACATGATAATGGTTTTGCTAAACTTCTCCATGTCCCTTTTATGGACTGAACTAAAATTTGGAAAATTCTAGAAACAATGAAGCTATGAAATTTAAGAAGAAAATAGCTAATTAGCAGGGCTATAAATTGGGCTAAATCTTTGGACCTTTGTCACCTTTCCCCTATGATGACATTTGGAGGAATTGGGAATTGGTGGCCAAAAGCTCTGTGGTGAGAGATAAGCCTGTGGTGGAGTGGTGACCTCTAGGCAACCCAGGGCCATCAGGTATTGGAGGAGTCTTCAGAAATGCATGCACAGGGTCAGATTATTGCTTTATTCTGGTCCTATTGGAGTGGGTGGTTCAGTTAGTGCGGATGTCCAAGCAGTGCTACAAGGAGAAGAGATTGCTAAAGAATAGATTTGTTAATTTAAGGTGACTTTAAATTAGTAATTGGGTGCCTGAAAGAACCGGATATGGTGGCCTGGTCTTATATGGAAGCTGGTGATGTGCGATCCGGTCGGTCCTAGCTGCCGGTCACCTTGCCTTTGACAGAGCCGAAGATGCCTGAAACAAGGAGGAAACTGGAGATTTCCGGGGAGGAACTCGGTAGGAACACTCTGAAGCTCAAGTTAATACTCTTGAGGAGGCAAGGAAAACAATGGATTTGAAGACTAGAAAGCACAAAAATCACATACCTCATTCTTTGGGGGAAGAAGGCCTTTTATAACCACTCTGGTACACTCACTCCCATATCTCTGCCAGATCGGATGTCATCAACTCTGCGGGGGCAGACATAACCGCCACTGTCTTCCCTGTCAGGGCCGTCTCTGCAACGTCTGAGATGGCGGTAGCAGGTGGCCGTTGGAGTGCGGCTGTGATGTGTCAGACCCTTAATCAGTCAGGCGCACCGCCTCCGGGTACGGACTTCTTTGGTGTCAGGTACGGTTCGTTCAGTCACGCGACCTGGAGCCGAAGTGCCGGAGTGGGGCGCGAGGTGGTCTTGAGTTCGGATAAAAGTGTGGCCTGAACTGACCCGAGGTGGGTCAGCTCGGGCTTTTGCCCTTTGCGATGCTCCTTGCAAGGTTCGGGGTCTCTAAGGGAAAGCTCGGGCTCTTCCTCCTGGGAAGTGTGGGTTCCTTTTGGGGGAGCTCGAGGCTTCTCTTTGGGGAGCTCGGGTCCTTCCTGGGATACGTTTGTCAGTTCGGGCTTCATCCTTAGCGAGTTCTCTTGATGTTGGGCTTCCCCTTGGTGAGCTCGGGTCTTCTTGGGACACGGTTGTTGCTGTGCTGAGCTAACGCTCCTGCCAAGTCACACTTGGTTACTTCCACGTGTCGTGCGGCCAAGGGGTCGGGCCAAATCTCCCTCCATCAATTGCCCCCCACTCCCCGTGCCCGGGGTCTCAACCCAGCGTGGGTAGTTCATGGGATAACGGGTGTATTTGCCTCGTGACGCTTTGGTCTTGGTTTGGAGATTCTTCGGTCTGACCTGTCTATGCTTTCGGCCCGATCAGGGTCGACTCGGCTCGACCAGGGGACAATTCCGGGTCGCGTGCATCTCACGCGCGGACGTCAAACGGCTATAAATTTTCGGACGTAAAAAATTCGCGCTAAACTGATTTCACCTCGGGGGTCGTGCAACTGGTTTTCTTGAGAGCCGTTGGATGGCTTTAATCCTGGCCATTGATGCGTGGTTACAGCGGCTATAAATAGTGGGGGCCCTGGTCACTTTTCCTTCGCCATTTCTCAGTACGCTTCTTGAGCTCGCGTCCAAGGTCTTCAGCTCGCGTCACTTTCCTCAGCTCGTGTCTCTCTCCTTAGCTCGATAGCTTTTTCCTTGGTGAGTCCCCTTAGCTTCTTTCCATTTCCTTTCCTCAATGTCCAGTTCGGGTAGTTTAGATCGTCTTTTAGGGTCTAAGGCTGGGACCTCGGCCCGGGCTGCTTCCGATAGCCCTCTGGGTGGGCCCGAGGTAGAGCCTTCGGGTCGGTCCAGTTCGGGTAGCTTTTTCCTTGGTGAGTCCCCTTAGCTTCTTTCCATTTCCTTTCCTCAATGTCCAGTTCGGGTAGTTTAGATCGTCTTTTAGGGTCTGAGGCTGGGACCTCGGCCCGGGCTGCTTCCGATAGCCCTCTGGGTGGGCCCGAGGTAGAGCCCAAGGTAGAGCCTTCGGGTCGGTCCAGTTCGGGTAGCCTGGCATCCACTTCTCGTCAAGTTCGGATGCCAGACAAGTTCGGACCTTCCACCATGACGTCGGAGAGACTTCGGTCTCTTGTTCGTCAGTTCAACCTGCCCGGGGAGTACACTTATGGTTTGCCCACGGGCGACTTCCCTTGGGTGCACGGTCCGGACGAGATCGTGATTTTTTGGGAGCAGCTCGTTGCCGGGCTGCGCCTTCCTTTTCATCCCCTTATCGTCGAAGTTCTGAATCACTTCGGCGTTACCATTGGTCAGCTTCACCCAAACTCTATCTGTAACGTCGTTGGGACCATCTCCCTTTGTTGCGCACACTACCTTCCGTTAGAAATTTTCTCCGCCATCCTGATGCTCAAGAAGCAAGCGGGTTCCCTCTCTCGGGGCAGGCGGGCCTATTACTTGTCTCCCCGCCCGAGGTTAAAACTCCTGCACGAGCTTCCGAGTAAGGTCCCGGCATGGAAGCAGGACTATTTCATAGTCCGAAGTGCTACGGGGTGGCCGTTTCCTTCTGATTGGAGGGCGACTTCTCCCGACCCCGGCGTTACTTTAGACAAAGACACGGGAGGGCCTCCATGATTGGGCCCAGCTCAGGCTCGAGTGCAAAGATTATCTTGCAGAGGCTAAGCTTATCCAGGCCGGTTTGAGTCCGGGTAGGTTACTGATGCCGAGCTCCTTTTGCAGGTGTCATGGAGGCGGAGAAGATCTGAGGTGCCAACTTGCTCGAAGGGATGAAGAGGCGAAAGTGGGCTACCAAGCGGGCTCGCGCCGGATCTCCTTGGGCCGTGGAGCCCGAAGCCCCAAGCCGCCCCCCAGTCATCGACCTAGAGTCTCCCAGGGAGCCCGAGGTGGCTGGGCCTGCTCCAGAGGCCGCAACGGAGCCCAAGATAGCAAAGGCTCGGGATATCGATACCACAGCCTCCCACACTCGGACGGTGCTCTCCAGCTCGGGGAGCCAGGAGGGGGTTGGTAGCATACTGACGCCGAGCTACACTCTTCGCAAGAGCAAGAAGGCTGTCAACCCCGGGGAGGTTGTGGCGTGGGTTGACCTCCCTCCAGGTCACATCGGGGCGCGCACTGCGTCACATGCTATGGTGGTAAGTCGTAGTGGTTTCTCTTGGTATTTTCCTTGTGCTATTATTCTCTTTTTGTCGGACTGACTTGTTCTCGCTTGGCAGGTAAACTCCTCCATCCACACCCTAACTCTTCAGGCGGAGAGGAGCCTGAAGCGGGCACAAGCTGCCGAGGAGGCTTCCCACGCAGCGCAGGCAGAGCTAAGGGCAGCGCAGGCCGAGCTGGAGGTAGCTCGGGAGCGGATTCGTCGTCTTGAGGGCGATGCTTCGGCTCAGCAGACCGAGCTGGAGAGGCTTCAGAGGGACAACGGGGCTCTGAGGCTTGTGGCGAAGAACCTCGCGACCTCGAAAGGGGTCTTGGAGCACGAGGTCGAATACCTCCAGGCCGACATCAAGGAGAAGACCGAGATCTTCCTCCAGGGCCTTGAGGATGCTAAGGTGAAGGCCGTCGACGACTACATTGCTTCGGCGCGCTTCGATGACTTGATGGTGGGCTCGTACCGGAGGGGTTTCAAGTTGAGCCGATGGATGATAAGGCATGCATACCTCGAGCTCGACACCAGTGCCATAAGCACTTCGCGCATCACTCCGGAGATGGCTGCCGCGGCCGACGATGATGCGGACTCTGAAGACGAAGCGGACCCTTCGAGTGCTGTTGAGGTTCCTTCTAAAGGCAAGGGAGATGTGCCTCTGAGCTGATGTATGCCGAGCCTGCGAGCTCGTTTTTGTTTGTTTTTTCTCTCTTTTTTTTTTTTGGAATGAAATGTAAACAAAGTATTTTGCAATGAAATGTCCCTTTTTTGGTTAAGTGTTGGGCACTGTCATTTTTCTTTTTTTACCAAACTGACTATATTGCCGAACTGCTAGAATTGGTCCCCGAGGCGAGTTAACATAGTAAGGCTATACGCCCGACCTGTTCTCCGCTTGGGTTGGTTAACAGGCTAGAATTCGTTGATGAGGTGTCGAGGTCATCGTCAGCTCGGTGCTGGCACTTGGCCTTCGCTTGCCCATGCCGAAGAGGCGATTGGGTCTTATGGTGCCGAGGTCCTTGTTAGCTCGGCATTCTGACCCTTAGGCTCTGGTAGTGGCTCATAGCCCACTTAGTTTGATAATTTATAGGTAATATCGTCTTAAGTTGACGATGTTCCATGCCTGGGGTATTTGTTTACCCTCAAGGGTTTCGAGCTCGTACGCTCCCCCGAGTGTTCTCTTTACTCGGTAGGGTCCTTCCCAGTT